AAGATGTTCCATTTATAATTTAGTTATGTTGTATTTCTTACGTTTTTGCAAACCCTTGAGAAAGTAATTTGAATTCCTGTAAAGCTGAATCATCCATATCTCGAACAATGAAATGCTCATTATCATCAAGGGACAAAAGTAAAGATTTGCTAGATATAGCAGTAACTCTAAAAAATCCAAATTTTACAAAAATTAATTGATCTATTTATAAGATAATATAGAAAAATATACTTGATTTCTTCAAGATGAGGCCAATTAGCATACACAGTTTTGCCAAGTAACTCTTTAGCAATACATTGTATATTGTCTTCAATATTTTCATCTTGATTAATTATTTTAATAATCATGTTTTCACCCAAACTTGAAGATTGAAAAACTTTTACACCTTTCTTGAGTAATTCAGCCTAAATTACAATTTAAAAATATATTATGTATTTATAATACATAATTATTTTTAAGTTTAAGGAGGATAAACCTTCTTAACTTCCATAGATTAATTCTTAGTTAAAATAAATGATTTAACTTTAAGTATACCAAATATGTAAAACTAAAATTATATACATATATATATTTTTTTTTTGATAAAAAAAGATTATCATATTGTTTACAACTGTTAAATTGTTTAGATTATAAGATACTTTAATTCAAAAATTACTTTTCTTATAATTACCATCATAAAAATATCAAGAATTTGATTTGAATCAGAGGAAAATATTTCAAAAATTAATAAATATAAACAGTTCAATGAGAATAAATATTATTATTGTTCTCCTGAAAGTTGGAATAAGTAAGGCAGTGCTTACTTATTGAACAATAGCTGTACAAAAATATCCTATTTAATCATACTAAAGGAATTTCTACAAGTAGGTATAGACTCTTAGGCACGCCCTGCAAAAACACCTAAACACCATACCATAATAAAATAAATATGAAAAATAAAAACTTACTGTAATTGGTATGAGATGAAGAGTAGGAAACCCAACATGATAAACATCCAAGTTTACATTTGGACACAAACCTTTAACTAAATCATTAGGATCAACGGCAATATCTTCACGATTAATCAATATTCTATGTGCATGACTTTCTTGAATAGGTGGAAAATACTTTGAGTTTGACACTATACCTATAAAATTAAAATACAGCTCAGATGTAAAATTTTATTTTATTTATCTGTAAAAATAATTACCCATATTTTCTTTGGTATACTTAAAAAGATACATAGGACCATGTGAATTTCTTTTTTTTTCATCATCTGAAAGTTTGTGTTCGACAATTTTCATAGACTTTAATAGAGTTTCCTAAAAAGCAATCTGTTNAATTTTCATAGACTTTAATAGAGTTTCCTAAAAAGCAATCTGTTAATACATAATCTAGATAAAACATTATATCAATATATATATATATTACACACACACACACATATATATATAATTTATTTTTTTACTTCATCAATAAAAGGAACTAATACGACAGCTTCCCATTCGTGTTGTTTTCCATTGAGATCAGTTTCAA